GTATCATTTAAAGAGCCCTCCTCTCTCTTTTAGCCATCCTTACATCAGGAGGATCTACTCCCTGAAGGAACAGCAGTGTGGAGTATGCAGTGAACTAGGGGGACTGAGAAAGGGTGAACCAAAACCAGCATTTTATGGCTGACAGTGGAGCAGTTTTAATTGAGTGAAGGGGGGACAGACACTCCCATGGTCTTGGCAGGAATATAAATTGGTACATTTCTTGGAAGGCACTTTGTAATCTATTTTCATATTTGAAATGTTCCTGTTTTCTTCTGAGTCAGTAATTCCACTCAGCGCAGCATTGCTGGTAGTGAAAAGCTGACTATAACCTCAAATATTTGCATTTTCAATAGTGGTTGGTTTAATTATGGAAGCATGCCCAAATTCTATTAAGGCGCGGGGAGGCAGCTGTTTACAAGGGTGTATTTGGTGTGTAAAGAAGCTCAGAAGACCACACAGAAGTGAAACACAAAACAAAATCCAAAACTTACTACTTGCAAGGGAGCTCTGGTGGCCTAGTGGCAGGAAGCTATTCTGCAATCCCGAAGGCACGCAGTTCAAATTCACCAGCTGCTCCGTGGGAGGATGGGCAATCTCCCCCCATGCAATTAACTTCCTCTAAAAACCCACTGGAGCGTCAGCTATGGGTTGGTTTCAACTCAAAGGTACTCACAATGACAACACTACTACAAGTAAGTGTCGATTCAGCGACCCTCCACCCCAGGAGTTTCCAAGGCTGCACATCTTAATGGGGAGTTGGGGTGGGTTGGAGACTGCTCATCTTTTATCTGGGAGAGGGATATAATCACACAGAACTTTCACTTTCCACATTTGCATAAGCTAACGGTTTGATAAACCAATTTAGTCCTGTTTCTGCTGCTCTAAGAAAATGGTATGTTTCCCTTCTTTCATAAATCATGAAACCTATTCTGAATTCTAGGATTCATTCACTCAATCATTTGTTTGAAAGGTGTTTAAATGACTACATGTCAACTATGTGTTCTTGATGATAGGCAAGGCAGAATCATTATCCTCAGGGATTACAAAACAAAATATATCTGAAATGAGTAATGGAAAAAATATGGAGGAAGAGAAGGGTAGAATGTTGGGGTGGGGACAGGAGATTGCTATTATATATAATGTGGTAAATAAAATTTATATATAAGTTGCTATTATATATGACGTGGACACTATCTCATTGAGAAGCCATATGGTTCCTGGAGAAAGTCTTCCAGGCACAGAGACCAACAAGCCTAAAAATGCTAAAGCTATTGGATGCCTAATGAGTTTTAAAAGGACTGAATGGCTGGAATGAACAATGAGAAATTAGTAGATGCAGAGCAAAGAGCTTGGCTGATAACAGAAAGGCTTGTTTGGGGATTGAACCCACCAGCTCCTCTGTGGAAGAGAGATTTCCAGCCTTGGAAATTCTATAGGCAGTTATATTCTCTCCTATCGGTCCCTGAAGATTCAGAATTAGCTCGATGGCAGGGACTCTGGTTATTCTGGGCTGTAGAGGTCTGAGGGAAGGAAGCAGTATGGTGTATGGGCTTCCAGTCCATTGTGCTCCTCTAGCATGGCAAGTCATTAGGCTTTGGACTAACTGAGGAGACAGGAATAGAAAGAGGGGAGAGAATGAAAGGCCTTTAGGTTTCCTTTAAGGGCAATGAGCCATCATGCTGTAAGCCAGGCATACCTCAGGCTAAGGCAGGGTGGCCATGACTGTGGGCTTCTGAAGGACACTGGAGACCTAGTGACATGGCCTTGATACACTTGCTTTGAGTGAAAGAAAGAAGACAGATTACATTTTCCCCACCCTAGTAAGAAGACTCATAGATGGTTAATCCAACTTAGAAAAGGAGGTGCTGTGTCATTTCCTGTGCACCTGCCAATCCTATTTGGTAATGTTTCACTTTTGTTTTCAAAGATGTAGGTGCATTACTGTTGGAATCAGAGTAAAAGTACATTTTGGAAAAAATGATGAAGTGGTCAATTAATCAATTCATTCAGAGAGTCACAGAGTGTGGTAGCTGAGAAGAGTCAGCTAAGAAGTGTGATCTATAAGGAAGCCTGATGTTAAGTGCTTACGAAAGGCAACGTTTAGTATTAAAATCAAAGCCATGAATATGACCTCATCAGAGAAGCTTCACAAAGAAACAATGAACGGTAGGAACAAACATGTGCCACACAATTCTGGATACAGTTTATTAAATAATATGTACAGCAAATGTAGTTGTAATTCAACACTTCTATTTACCAAAGAAATCCACTGCAATAAAGAAAAAATGAACAGAAGGGGGAAAAATCTGTGCCTGCATAATACATGCTCTCAGTGTGTAATTTCAATGGCAATACTTTATTTGGTTACTTGTCATGTCAGTTATTGTTTCCGTAAGATCTTAATATATTTGGTAGTAACCTGTTCTGGCAATAGAACTTAATACTATTGCAGATTAAAAGGACTGGGGGCTGAGAGGGAACCCAAAAACAAAACGCCAAAATAAAAACCTCAACAAAAATGAAACAAATCATAATTAAGATTACAGTTACCTTCTTTCTCAGAAAAAAATATGGTTTAATATTCTAACACTTTACAGTGGCTATGTCTGTGCTAAAAACTTGTAGGTGAGTTATTTGCAATTCCTTCATTTAAATAAAAATGCAAAAAACTTCATGACTTCCTTATTTATTCTCAACCCCTTGGTTCATATTTCTTAAAATTATTTTTCTATACAAGGTAGGTACATGGGCTATACAAAGTTAAATGTACATATTTACAGTCCCACTTCATAAGCATATGATTTTTCTTTTACTGATCCCAGAGAGACTGCAAAAGTTAAGTAATTTGGGGCTCATTTTTATCCGGAAGCGTGACTAACATATCAAAATGTGTTGCAAGGTATGCCGCCAGTTAGTTGCACTTGCTATTAATAAACCTGTATAAACATTTCAGCATAAAAATAGGTATTTTATGTTACTAAATGTCTGAAGACAAAAGAGCAATTGGAATTCTTGGTTGCTTGTTTCATTACACGTAGGAAGCTGAAGTTTGATGCAAATTTTAACATAGGATTTTATTAAAGATGAGTGAACTGGTGAGGCATACCTGGATTTTTGGATATACAAATGCGTGAGGCTGGCGTCATATGCAAATGTGGCTTTACAAATTGGTTTCATTTTCTAGCTGTATTTAAAGAGGTGTTCAAAATTATCTACTTAATCAAGAAGCACCCCTCAAGAAACTATTAGGTTAAGATCATGTTATTAATAGTTGGAATCTAAGAAAGACATGAAACACATTAGCCGTTACAAGAGTTACATTCTGAAATGGGTGGAAATGCTGCCGTGCAAAATGCATGTGCATATATGCACTTGACTCGATTCCCTCAAAGAAACAGAACGAGCCAGAAAAACACAGTTTTTGGTGCAACCTTCCAAAGCAATGGGTCTTAATTGTTACTAGGTCTACGGAATATGAAGAAGGCCCTTTCTTTCCAGGAAGTCCTCACCCATTAGTTCCACAGCCCCTTCCCTGGAGATTAAGAAGGTTCTGTTCTTAGTTAAAAACAAATGTCTCTGGGAAGAGGTAACACATACCTCTTATCAGTCCTTTACACTATCATATGAACGAGTCTGTGGTAGTTTCTTTCCTGAGAGCGGGATTTAAATACAGAACAGGGAGAGTGAGGGCACTGTGGCTTTCATCTGGTGACAGGGTGGGACGTTGGTGGGCTGTGAAGATGGGGACAGAAGCTGAGGCAGAGGCACTGAAGATGAACTTTGCTACTCATAAAGATTCCAGACTTTGGGACAGCCATCTAGGGGTGATTCCGAGCCAGATGCAGGAGCCTGGACACACCCCTTCCCCCCAGAATTGCTTCTCCTGTTTGTGATCTTAGATGTGTAGTTGTAGGGTGGATGAGAGTTTGGAGCTTATTGGCAACAGTCCTATATGCATCTCCAGCCAAGGTATCCTCAAACCAAGGTTCTTCCAGCATTCTTGTTGCTCAAAAGTGAGCAAAAGGAGACAGAAATGTGACAGAGCTTTCCCCAGTCCCTCAGGGGAAACGCATCTCCTCCCTCACACCCTTCAAAACACATATCACAGTCTTTCAATATAATTCCACTCCCCCCCCCCTTCTCTGTTCCAAATACTTCTGAGTTCCCAGAGGGCAGGGGATGGGTCATTTCCATTTTTGTCCCCTCCCAAGTTGCCGGGCAGAGAGATCCTGGACAAAATTGTGACTGAGCAGGGTAGGGACCTCTTGTTTGTTACAGGAGCTCTGCACCTTCGGTTCTGGGGAGAACCCTCAGCCGGTGGGGAGAAGCCTTATCAGGGTGCGTCAGACTCCCAACACCAGGCGGGTGCATTTCAAGTTGACACTGGGAGTCCCCTCTAAGGTTCAGTGTATCTCCGCTTCCTCTGTCCCCTGCCAGCATCCACAAACGTGTGTTCAATGACAGAATAGCATTCTTGCCTTTCTCCAAGGCCAGGCCTACTAAACCTAAGTCCAGCTGGCTGAAAATAAGCCAGAAAAGAAAGGTTAGGATGGTGCTCTGTCAATGGAGGCCACACTGCCCTAAAGGTGACCATTTAGAAAAGGTGGTGATATGGGAAAGGAACACACTGCAAGTGATCTAAGAGCTACAAGGTTTCTTGACGGAATCACCTGGAAATACAAATTGAGCCTATCTGCCTGCCATGCGCTCCCTTGTGTGCTTTTCGTCTGAGCACCAGGGGAGCCAGGCTTTGCTGAGTACATTTCCTACCCTTCCGCTTTCTGTCCTGCAAAGGGTCATTAGAAGTTGGGGCCTGACTCTGGGGGATCAGCTGGCTCCAGGAAACAGGGGCTGGAGGCTGGGGGTGGGTGGCCTGTGTGTTCTCAGGCTTGGAACCTCAAGAGAATGGCTGGGAATCTCTGAGGCCTCCGAGGGTGGCTTCAGGCTAATGGATCCCCTGGAATCAGGACTGGTCAAGGCGGGGGCAGCATGAGGCATTTCTGGCGCAACTCTTCTCCCAGACTCTGCTCTGGGTCAGATTACCCAAGAGGTGGAGGGGAGGGGAAAGTTGGAGTGGCTCCAGCAGCAGCTAAGTAAATATGGCGTTGCCTCATTCCTTTTTGCACAGCACAAGGTTCAGCCCTGCCTGATGCACAGTTTAGGCAGGCTTGGGTTTAAACACAGCACTTCTCGGTCCCTCTCTTCTGCTTCTTACTGTATCCACTGCATTAATCATCCTATTGACTCAATGTAGAAAGGAAGAGCCTGGTTCAGGAATTACATTCCATCCTTCAATAGAAAACAATCTCTGCAGTTTTCAGTCTTCTTATAGATACAAAGGCTTTACATAGTTGCCTGGAAAAGTACCAAACTGCCTTGTCCTTCTTGACGTACCTATAAAAAACACACACATACACAAAATGAGAAGACTTGACTGTGTGTTCACAGGGAGAGAAGCTTTTGCTCCAGTGTCACTTAAAAATCCCTTAGAGTGGTTCAAAGCACTTCCCTTCCCCCAGCTCAGCTCATTGAGCTTGAAAAGGAATACTGGCTGGCAAGCAAGGCAGGCATTTCTAATACTTCTGTTTTTCAGATGAAGAAACCCAAAGTGCTTTGGGGGCATTCTGAAGGCCAGGGATGGGAAGAATAGTTAAGTGCTTGACTGTGAACTGAAAGGTTGATGGTTCAAATCCACCCAGTATCTCTACAATAGACACCACAATACCACCAATGCAGTGGTGTTTTTGTCTCAGGGGAAACTTCTTGGCTAAAAGAATATGCCAAAGCTGAAGACCACTGAACCATCTCCTTGAAGTCTCATCTTCTTTTTAATAAATATTTTTATCATTTATATACACTGTGTTTAAAACATTGTGTTCTATATAATCCTTTATTTACATTTTATTTCATTCATGTAGCTTGTGGGGTTCCTCCCTTTAACTACATTTGTGAAAGAGTGTAAGCCAGCTATGTCATGCTTCATGCCTTATTATCCCCATTTTAGAGAGCCAACTTCTTTATATAAAAGGGAGAGGAGTTTGGAAAGAACTGTGAAGCTAAGGAACTCGCTTGTGCTCCTAGAACTTGTTAGCCCATTTCCTTATGGAAAAGAAAGCTTGCTCTGCTGCGCTACTTTATTCATAGCTTGGTTAACCAGATGGATCCTCTCCCTTTCTCAATGCCATCGACTCGGAAAAAACTCATAGCTGACCCTGTAGCTGCTTTCTGAGGCTGTAAATCACACAGGAGATTTCCCGGTTCATGGTGACCCCACAATTGTGTTCCATAAGGCTGTGTCTTTCAGAAATAAAGGTTGCCAGGCCTTTCTTATGAGGCACCTCTGAGCAAAGTCAAACTGCCAACCTTCCAGTTAGGAGTTGGGTACCTAACTACACCCTTCAGGGATTCCAATCTGACTCCTTTTTAAAGTGAACAAGGAATACAAGGAAAATATTTGTCTCATAACAGTTACCCCTTTAGAGAATCAGCACCCCCTAAGCTCCCCTAACAAGTGCCCTTGCAAGAATTTAGCAGCTTTTCCAGAGTTTATGCTCTATCTTAGAGCTGTGCTATCTAGTATGAGAATTGCTTGTGGCTAGCAAGCACTTCAACTATGGTTAATCTGAACTGAGATGTGTAGTAATTGTGAAGTACACATCGAATTTTGATGACCTCAGAGGAATAGGAGATTGTGAACATCTCACTTATAGTTTGTCATTTTCAGTTACATGATCAAAAGACAAAGGTTTTGAATGTATTGAGTTTAAGAAAATATTATTGTCAGAACTCATTTCCCCTGCTTCTCTTTACGTTTTCCAAGCTGGTTTCTAGAACATTTTAAATCTCATATGTGACTTGCATGTACTGATACAGTTTGTACTGCTCTGGAAGGCCATACTTCCAGTTTGGTTTTCTTCTAAACAGACTGAGCCATGGCTTCTGGATCCCTGACGGGGCTGGTGCAGACAAGGTGAATCTAAGAAGCTAAGGACTCTTTCAGGTGTTTCATGTAGGTTGTGGCCTTGCTGTACTCCCCACCCAACCCTGACGTTCCTTTTCAGAGAGATTTCCTAGAGCGATCAGAGAAGAGCTGGTCGTTGGAAAGAAGAGAAAAGTAAAAAAATCTGAGGCAAAGAATGAGTCAGTGGCTTCTAAAAGTATACTCATGTCTGTTTAGAAAGAATGTAGGTTTGGGAACAGAGGAACTTGACTTTAAATCTTCACAGTACCGTTTATTCCCTTGGAGGACTCTGGGTTAGTTGCTTTGGGGTGTGGTATCTGGTAATAGAAGATCATTCTTATTTTACAGGGCTGTTTGTTGAGAGGAATGCAATTAAGAAAAGCGTATTTAGCATAGCCCGTGGTATATAACAGAATCTCAATAAATGTTGGGTTTTCTCCTTTTTTACAAATATGAATAATTTGTTTTTAAATTAATAGCTTTGATCATATTCTCAGAAGCCAGGAAGAAATAGAGTAATATTTAGTAAAATAGAGTAAAATAAGATTGTCTTTGGAAGGCTTACATTTATGCCCGAGTTTTATAGCAAGGATCTAGGCTCAGTTGAAATTTTGTTGTGTTTCATAAGAGTTTTTAAAAAGAAATTTTCCATATGTAGAACAAACACAGTAAAATGTGAACAGAAGCCTAATTAATGAATCTGGTAACTACCCTTTCTGTGCAACAGATGTTGGCGTATTTGTGTTTGGGGCTCCACATCAGTATCAATTACAGTGTCTTAAGGGAAGTCTTGGGAGGAATAGCATGTCTTCCTCCATTGTGGTACATGAATTGTGAAGGCTCTGAAAAGTGCAGAGAATTTTCATTTTTTTCGTGCCTCATTGTACCCGGTCATTCCTTAAGTACACAATTAGGAAGAAGAGCATATTGAGGTTACTCACCAACAAACCATCCATCATCACATTTTTCCATGACATCAACGATATCTCCATCTCGGAGTTCCAACTCATCATCGTTCTGTGGTATATAGCTATATAACGCTTGGTAGCTAAATCTAAAGATGGGAAAGAAAGCCGGGCTGAACACTGGATGGATTAAATAAAGTTTTAAAACCTATTTCCACTAAATCAATGTTTAAATAGTGTTTCCTACTCATCAGTGAAAAGAAAACGATTTTCTTGTGTAGTTCTCTGATAACTCGACACTTATCGAAATGCGTTCGGCACATGGAATGCATTTCAAGTCTGACAGGAATGAGGATCCTCAGACTGCAAGCTGTGATTAATTTTCTTATTTAGTATTATTTGGTTGCCATAGTTAAGTGTTTTTACCGACATGCCTCCATCCCTTAAAGTTAACCAAAAGTCTTTTCCTTAAAAAAAAGTAATACATGTAAATTATCAAGAATAATTAGAAATTACTTTCGCCTAGAGACAGAAAAAAATATTTCTGGTTTATATGTACTGGAGAACATTAGCCAGTTTACATACATTTGTATGTAAACATGCGTTTGTGTGTGCATACATGCACACAGAACACAGATACAGCAAAAAGAGCTTTCTAGGTGCTTGATTTGCAAACCACTTTATATGCCTAAATACATTTCATTAATTGCCTTTAAATGTGGATATTATTTCTCTGGAACTTCTGAAAGCTTTTTGCCTTTTTTTTTAAATTAAATCTGTGGTGTTTGATGTAAGCTCTTCATTATTTACTTGCTACTCTAATGCAGTCTGTTCTGCGGTGTTCCACGAGCTGCCTCTGCTGAAAGCTGACCGCGGGTGCAGTCTGATTATTGCTTTGGCATGAATCATTTATTCCTTCAGCCAGCACTGCAGGAGCTCCTACTAATGAATCAATTTCATACTTATATTTTCTCACTATTTACAACACAATAGTAGCAAATAAAACTCTGCAAAGTAACCAGTTCTGTTTCATTTTCAGTAGATTTCAGTGGATGCCAATGTCCGGGCAAGAAGAGAGACTTGAAATGAGGGGAGGAGTCAGTACCCAGAAATGAGAGGTTCATTTTGCTCTGCTAAAGTCAGAGACAATATAATTTTATGTATTTATCCAAGTGTACTGATCCTCCAATAGCCAGCTCTGCCTGCTATACGGGAGATATCGAAGGAGCCATTAATAAATGCAGACAGATTTCCAGCTGGAATATGAATTATGTGGGTCTCTTTGGTTTTTTTTTTTGCTGTTTCTGTATTGATCTCTGTCTCCTACACAACTTGGATCCCTGTGGTTGGCCTTTCCATGTGGATTCATGCTAACATCCCCAAATGCCATGTCCCTTCAACCTTCACCACTGATCTTTGTCAATTGTGGCTCTGAGGGGCAAATCCATTGTCTGCTTTTCTGCTCTCACTCTGAGCCAGTGAAGACTGACTGGGCTGGAGAAAACCCCAAGACCTTACTACTTGGATCCACCAAACAGCTCTGGTGTTGGGTGAACCCCAAGTTGCTGCTTCTCCGTTTCCCCATTAGTCCTAGTGCCCCAGTCTTAACTTTATCTCCAAGATGGCTGCGTGCTGTAGGCAGCATCTCTGTTTTCCTGTCTCCATGCCTCCAATGTCTGTCCGTCCTCTCCTGTCTCCAGGTATCAGAAAGGCCTCTTCTGGCCATGTTGAATCCCTCCCCTGTTATCTTTCTTGTTATTTTCTTTTCTCTCTGTCTCTGTCTCTGTCTCTCTCTCTCTCTCGTATTTTTACTTTAAACATGTGGACTGCTGACCACATGCTTCTGGTCAGTGGCAGTGGCTCTCTCACACCTTTTCCTATATTGCTTCCTGCTCCTTCTTATTCTCCATTACTGGGTATTCCTTGTTTTCTGTAAAGTTGATTCTAGCCTCAATCTTTTGTACCCTTTCAGCATGCATTTCCTGAGATAATCTTATATTCCTCGATGGTTTCAAAGTCTCCACTCTGTCCTCACTGATGCCCTCATTTATTACTTTGCTTTTTTGGCTGAATTAATGTCTCCTAACTAGTATCTTAGTTGCCCTCCATCCCTGATACTCACCCTCCACTGTGCTACAAGTTTGTGTATTATCTATATTCTCACTTCAAAACATTCAGTGATTCGTTCTGACTGCAGAATAGTTTGCAAACTTATTCAAAGGCACCCTGGATTTTAAAGGCTGCTCCCAACCTCCTGGTTGCTCACGCTCACCTCTAACAGTTCCTCTGTGAACTGTATATACTTCAGCCATACAGGACTTTTTACAGTTCTGTAAACACACTGCTTACTTCATGACCTGCACCTCCCTGTTCTGGGGCTCAGAGATCCAGTTTGTCTTTCATTTCTCGGTCCATAGAACATAGTTGTTGTTGTTAAGTGCCGCTGAGTCGCAGGTGACTCATAGCGACCCTATGAAGGAGAGTCCTCGACACTTGGGTGCCTTCCATTCTCTCTCCAGGTTCATAGGGTTTTCCAGAGGCAAGCTATTATGGAAGTGGATGCCACTCCTCCTCCCAAATAGAACATAGTATGCATCCAATAATTCTTCTCTAAACAATGAATGAATGAATCAACCTTATTCATTCATCAGGAATCAGAATTAACTGCCCTTTCCTCCATTTCTATGATCCCACAACACTGGGCTTGAATGTAGCCAGCACGGCTCTTGTTTACCATTGTATAGCAATGCCCACAGCCACCTTCTCCCCCAATCGTCCATGACCTTCTTTATTTACCTGTCATCTGCTTTCACACTGGCTGATTTGAAACACAAGCTTACCTAGGAATACTCAGAGATTCTGGCACAGATAAACTTAACTCCCCCAAATGTCTGCTACCATATTCAGTGAATGGCCTGCTCCCTGAGGCCAACAGAGCACCAAGCATGTAAGCATTGACGTTTGCCAAGTATACTTACACATCTTGTGAGGTTTGACTCCTGTCTGGGGTGACTCTTCGCTGCTGGGCTTGAGGTTGCTGAGAAATGATTAAAGATGATTTATTGTCAAAAGGGGACACCTTGTGATGGAAGTCAAGGGGATGAGAAACAGTGCTGCAGTAATGAACAGACTTTTCGGCAATGTTTATGATCTCATTGCAAACTGCTTCCTGTGAGGTGGCCCCGAGACATCCAGAAACCCCCAAAAAACAGTCAACAAGGGGACAAAAAGGAAAAAAAAAGAAAGAGAGGAAGAGATGTAACATTCCAGACGAAGCACATAAGTCCGGGGAAACAACAGAGTTGAAGATCCAGGTTAAATATATATATATTCCAGTAGTGGAGTGCAGGAGGGATCCAGGTGTAAGCATGGAAAAACAGGTAAGATACAGAAGAATTTGGGATTTAGTATGAATATTAAAAAAAAAAGGCAGCAGCATAAAAGCTCGTAATTAGTGAGTAACTGTTACAAATGGCATAATTTCAGATAGAAATGCAAGTACGTATCCCCAGTCATGCACTAAGAGATTAATCCCCTATGCAGGCAGAGTGGAAATATTTTCTCTAAATTCCTCTGCTCTTTTTGGGCTGGGAGTGACCTAACACCTTTTTTTTTTTGTTACTACAATAGCCATATAACTTGTTTAACTAATGGCTTTGTGGGTTAACCAGGCATTACTCTAGTCTAGTTGTCAGTAAGGATTCTCTTTAGAAAAGCTACAGTCTTATTCAACAGGCATCTTACCACATAGCTCTTTTCAGATTCTGTGAGATCAGGTCCTGCTCTCAATGAATGATGAGAAGGCTGTGATCACCAAGCAAATTATAAGGGAGACATTTTAGCAGATGTCACATTGGAAAGGATTCAAAATAAAAGCGTGTGCAAATACACGTACCACACCACACCGTCACACTGGGATGACACTGGATACCCGCGGCCACAGGCCGCCGAGTTTCCACAACACAGCGGGTGCACGGGAGAAAATGCAAATGGACAAAGTTAGAAGCAAGCATCCAGGCAATGAAATGAGAAACTGGAAACATGGCTGCAGTGAGTGAGAATAAGCACAGGGTCCCCAGACGGGCAGGAGAGAGACGCAGAGCGCTGCCTTAGACAGTTATCTTCCTTTGTGAGCCAAGCACAGTGATCCCCTCGCTCTGAGCGCTAACATCTTTGGGAGCAGTGCTGTATCGGAAATCATCAGTTGCAGGCATATCATTGGCTGGGGGCCATCTCTGGCAGCTCAGGTTCAGAAAACTCTTGTTATGTACTGTCGAGTTGGAACCAACTCATACCTGACTCTCCAGTGGGTCTTCGGAGGCAATAAATTACACAAGAAGAGATTGCCCGTCTTTCTCCCACAGAGCAGTTAGTGGATTTGAACCGCATACCTCTGGGTTGGCAGCATAATTCCTTACCACTAAGCCACCAGAACTCTGACCAGAAAACTATGAAGTCTGCATTATTTCAGTACGTACAAAAAGGGAAATGAAAACCTTATGTTTGAAAAGCTCTTTGTTAATACTTGAAGCACCATGCAAGACCTTCGCCTGGGTAAATCTGTACAGGGTACACTCCAGCTGGGAAGGAGATGGATGCAGATAGTTCATAGGGAAGAACCTACTTCTAGAAATAGGATGTGTGTCCTGACATCTCTGTCATAAAGAACTGGCACTTTCACTCGTCAGCCCAGGTACCTACCGTGTGCTGACATAGAAACGCAGGTGCAATTATATATGATTAAGCAGATACACCTTTTATGCAGAATTTCCTCAGTGGTGCCAACGCTTAAATGGAAGAGGATTTGTAATAATTTCTCTCAGCAAGGATGCAACTGTAAGCTCTCAGAACAAGACCTCCCTAAATTCTGTGAAGAGCAATTCTCACAGAAAGCTTTTGGGTCCTGAGCAGTCATAGAAGTGAGCCGGGGATACAGAGACCTCTGTGCAAGATCATTTTGGTTCACAGGCAGCCCAGAGAAGGTGAGTGTCTTCATTAATATGACATGCTGAGTTACTGGAAGACCCTTTTCCTGGCCCCAGCTACTGTACCACTCCCCACTTTACAAAATACACATTCTGACCTTATCATTAATGAGTTACAGAGAAACCCTCGGGATAGGAAGGGCAGCTTTCTGCATCTAATAGTCTAAATGCCCAAGGAAGCTGATGCGCAAGGACGTTTGGGCATCCCTCAAGTTCATTCAGCTAGTGAGAGGTAAGCCTGCTTGGTGGCTCTTTCCACTCCCCTCCCCTCTTCTGCTCATCTCCACGGCCAGTGTCCACATTTTTTAGGTGCCCAGCAGGATCTGTGTCCACCCCTGTGAGAGCAAGGTCCTGCTCTCGGTGAATGATGAGAAGCCTGTGATCGTCAAACAAATTATATTTCTATCCCTGGCATCATTCCTACATTCCTGTCCAGTAGAGGAGTGGACAGCTTCTACAGACCTCTTCCAAGCTACAATCACTCTAAGCAGACCCCCTGACCGCTGGCAGGCAGGGAGAAACAAAACCCAAAAGGGCTGCTTCATGCTCTGTCCCTGATGTCTCAGCATCCAGAAGCCTCTGCTGGTTGACTAGGAGCTGACTTGGGTAGCCTGAGGCATCACTCATGTGGCCTTTGGATGACCTTCTGTGTAAGAGATAAAAAGGATGAACATTTCCACGAAAGGAATGCACATAGCTTCTAAGGCTTGCTTGCATGTGGCAGAAAAATGGAACTCGTTTGGGGGCCCTGAGTGGGTGATACCAGCATGGAGAATCTGAACTACTAGAAGTGAGAAGAAATGAATTGTCTATCATAGCAGCTATTTGAACTGAGGCTGAGTCGACTGTTAGGCCACTGTGAACACTGCTTCTCAAACTTCAAGGTGTACAGATACTCCCCGGCATCATGTCAAAATGCAGATTGTGATGTGACCCATCAGTGAAGCTGCCCGGGACTCTCCATTTCTATTTGGGATGCCATGGCAGCTTGTCCACAGACCAGCTCTGGGTAGCAAGGATGTGGAAGATCACCATTGACCTACAGTAGGGCTCTGCCTATTCCATGCCAACAACAGCTGCGTCACATCTCATGTCAACAAAAGTTCTCATAAAAGCCAACTTCCTTCCAAGCTCTAGTTGGTGGCCTTGTGACCTTAGGTCAATGCAGTTCCAAGGGGAAAAAAGGCAGAGTCTCTTACCATGATCTCATTTACTGACACTCCTAGTGGTCTGTCAATCAGTTAAATCTCAAAGGAGTGGCTAGAACCATCATCTAGTAAGTATTTAGAGCGCAGAAGAAGTTTGGTGAACCAAAGATATTAAGAAGGGCTTACTATTCCACTATTCCCCTCTTTCCTAAAGGAGTCCTAGTGGTGCAGTAGACTAAGCATTAGGCTTCTAACTCAAAAGGCTGCTGGTTTGGATCCACCAGCTGATCTGAAGGAGCATGAAGCAGTCAGTCACATCTTGTTAATATTTATAACCTCAGAAACCCTGTGGTAAGGGTAGTTATTCACGGCTGTTGAGTCAGAAACTGACTCACAGCTGACTCTCTGGGGGATTTCCACTGGAAGAGATTTCCCATCTTTCTCCTGCAGAGAAGCTGGTGGATTCAAACCACCTGCCTTGAAATTGGTAGAGCAAACTAGTGAGTGCTACAGGGTCACTGTGAGTCAAAAGTAACTCAGGGCAATGGGTTTGGTTTTCTTTTCTCAAGCACTTTGAAAAAACACGCCAAAAAGCCATACTCCACTGGGTCTCTGAGGCTGTAAATCTTTATGAAAGGAGACTGCCCATCTTTCTCCCAAGGAGCAGCTGATGGATTCGAACTCCTGACCTTTTGGATTAGCAGCCCAATACCTTTTGCTCTGTACCATCAGGGCTCCCTGGATACTATGAATCGAAGCATGTTGTAATGAAGACATACTCAACACTCTAAAAACACCCGCTCTTTGGCAATGAGTTGGAACTGACTCATAGCTGACCCTCCCCTGGGATTCTGAGGCTGTAAATGGTAAGGGAGGAGATTGTCTGTCTGTCTCACTTGGAGTTACTGGTGGATTCAAACCACCAGAGAGATGCAGACTTTGGATTAGCAGTGCAAAACCCTATGTACTAGGCCACCAGAGCTCCTTGGAAACTATGAATTAAAATGTGCTGTAAGTGGAGAAATACACACAATACAAGAAGATGCAAAATGACCCATGATTATTTTTCTACGTTTGGTTGTAAACTGAAATAATACTATCCCAATCATATTATTAAAATGAATATAAAATTACTTACAATATTAAAATTACACTCGCCTAGTTTCATTTAACTATAGAAAATTTGAAACTGGTCCCCTTTTGTTTTTCTTGATGGCACTGCTCTGAACTCTCCCTGTTTCCCAGTGTCCACCCCTCTTCAAGCCTAAAAACAGATACAAGTTCTAACCAGGGCCTCGCCAAGAATAAAGTTAAGAATAAAGTGTGCATTATCTCATGCTAAGTACATTTCAGACTCCAGGGGATGCATTCCAGTTTTTCACGTTTAAAAAAACACCAACCAGACCTATACAGACACATGTGCTAATACTATGCTCCCCTCCTCCATCCAGAAACTTTTTCTTCCATGTTTTGACCCAATCTACAGCCCTCTTAGCCTGAAGTGTTTGTTTTATTCTCCCCAAGTGAGCTACACTGCACACATCTGCATTCTGTTGTCTTCCTGTCCTTCCATCTTCAGTTCCCAGAATCCCTCAGAAATCTGATCCTAGCCGCCTGGGGGTGTTAATCCCTCTGAATCTACCAGCACCTGGTGCTACTGTGGGGTTATTAAGTGTTCTCTTTGAACTTTGGGTGTGTTCCAAACACTGAAGTCCAAAATAAATTACGCACAGATTAGAGAACAGCAGGAAGTTCTGGAGACAGGATAGAGAAACTTGACCTCTACTTGCCTCTCATTACCCTCTGGAAACTTCATATCTCTTCTAACCTAGGAGGAGCTCTGGTGGCTTAGTCGTAAAAAATTATGCTGCACACTCAAAAGGTACAGGATTCAGGGGAGCTCT